CAAAGATTTATAAAATATTTACAAAATAATAAAACAAGACGGGTTATTCCAAAGTCATGACATGAGAAGAAATTATAAAGCATGAATAAATAAATATACAAATATATTATCTAAGAAATAAAAAATAATATAATAAAGTAATCCATTTTTCCACAAGGCTTATTATATGTTCTGAGATGTCGTGGCAACATCGTTTCTAGTGACAAACTTAAGATACATACCATAATCATTTCAAAGATTAATAAAATATTTACAAAATAATGAAACCAGATGCAACATTGGAAAAAGTTTTTTTCCAACAATAGTTTTTGTTAATATTGTAATAATATATGCAGTAAAGAATATTGTAATATATGCTGATTATTCAAAACCATTTCGAAATTCAGGTTTCTATATGAGTAGGTTAGAAAATAAATATGTACCAAATAGATAATGGGTTGATTTTTATTTTTTATTTTTTCAAAACAAAAAATATTGTGTTAATATAAAACCAGAGAACAGAGAGTACAAAGATACAATCCCAAGGATAATCATGAAAGAAACAAACTATCCCAACAGGGTACAAAACTCACAAATCACAAAGAAATGAAGAACCATGCGAGATGACCTAGAAGGGATAGAGGGTCTATGGGGCAGTATAGAAAACTGGAGCCCTAATACAAACCATTTGCTAAACCAATACTACATAGCCACAGCTAAAATCCTAGCTAGGGAAAAAAGATAAACTAAAAATATACATAAAATACATAGAAAATATTAACACAAGGAAGGGACCTCTAGTAATTCAGAACAAGCACCATCCACCACCATTTTCTCATTCTGCCATTGATTTTTGAAGGCCCAAAGATTTCTTGATTCCATAACCAACAAAGGATATAGGTGGTTAGCTAAACTCTATCTTCTGCCTCCTTGAAGATGTGCATCAAGCAAACTTCTCTCCATCATCTTTTGAAGCAAGTAATGTCCTTCTGTAGAGCAGACCATTTCACTGGGGCCAGCCTCCACACAAGCTTTGCTCTTGGGCAGTTGAACCATATATGTGTAGTTGTTTCCTCACTGTCACCAAAAGCTATGCAATTGCAGTCCAACCTTATATTGACATAGAATAGAGAGTGGCCAACCTTATTCACTGATGAACTTTCATCACTTGAGCAATGACTACAAGTAGCTATCACACCTCAATTATTGTTATGTACGTACCTTGTTTCACAGATGATCAAAAGAGAAACACCTCATGAGATAGTTGTCCGATACCTATTTTCAGAAGTGAAACACTTAACAATTGAATTATATGGTAATTATGTTGTGCTCAACCAAACAGTTTAGTCAAAATACTTAGAACAACAACCATTAATCACACACATAAATACAAACTGAGGAGAATCATGAGGTGAGCCTACATTCTTTCACAACTGCAATGTCTAATGCAATCCACTTAAATGAATAACTAAAGATACAAAAGAATATAAGAAAGTTAATGCAACTCTCGTGATACAACATAATAAACATTTCTAGTGATTTTCTTTGTGACAGAAAACGTTGTGTATCAAGTGCTTTGGTAAAAACATCAGCAAGCTAATCTTTAGTAGGTACATGATCTATCATAGTTGTTCCATCATCCACCAAATTACGAATAAATTGATAGCGTATGTCAATATGCTTAGTTCGCGAATGTTGTACAAGATTTTTCAAAATGTTTATGGCACTCGTGTTATCACAAAAAAGTTAAGCCTAGTGTACCTTTATACCAAACTCTGAGAATTTGTTTCTTCCAGATGAGTTGAGAGTAACAACTCCCAGCAACTATGTACTCAGCTTCAGCAATAGAAAGTGAGATATAAATTTTGCTTCTTGCAAAACCATGGCACGAGCTTAGTTCCC